GCGGCGCGAGCGCTCCGGTCTGAGGGGGTTCGGTGTGAGGGGGTTCGGTGTGAGGGGGTTCGGCGCGAGGGGTCGGTGTGAAGGTCCGATGGGAAGATTCGGTGTAAGGGGGGGGGCAGCGTGAGGGTTCCGTGGGAGAGTTCCGTGTGACGGTTCGGTGGGAGAGGGCGGTGTGAAGGGGCGGAGTGAGGGCCGGGCCTGGGCTGGGCCGGGCCGGGCTCCTCCCCTCACACCCCCGGGGCACGGCATCGCGGTCCCGATCCCGATCCCGATCCCGTTCCCTGTTCCTTCCGATGTGCAGAGGAGCTGCCAAGGGGGTGGCGTGGCCCTGTCCCTGTCCCTGTCCCTGCCCCTGTCCCTGTCCCTGCCCCTGACCCTGTCCCTGTCCCTGCCCCTGTCCCTGTCCCTGTCCCTGACCCTGTCCCCGTCCTGCGGCCTCTCGCCTGGATTCCCAGAGTGTCTGAAGGTTAAACCATCCCTTCCTTCCCCTCAGTGTTGCTTTCTTAGCACAGACGCGCCACTCAACACGCGCTCTTTTTCAATTTTCCAGAATAGTCGCGAAATCCCACGGGGGGAAAAACCAACGCTCGTTCTCGCAACCTTCCCCGGACGTGAGCAAAAGCGAACCCCGGGTGCTGACGGTGATGACGCAGACACCGCCCCGAGAGGCTCGTGAAGGTGAGAAACACGGACGCTTCAATCGACCACCGAACCAGCCGGTTAGAACTTCCTTTAGAAAACAGTCATTTTTTTTTTCCGTTTTTTTTTTTTTTTTACACCCTTATATTTTATTCTGCCTTCCTCTTCCTCTCGCTTAATCTGCGAGTGCGAGCAATTTAAGACTCGGTAAGCAGCAGGTTCAGAGGAAGAAGAGGATGATCTGGGAGGCGTGAGGGAGAGATTAAGTTCTTTTTTTAGAAGGGCACACGCCCCCCCCCCCCCGAAATTCATCAGGGAGGAAAGGAAAACCCTACATATAAAAATACAGTCTCTCAATTTTAAAGAGACAATTAATACTTTCACCCCGGGTTTTATTTGTCTTCAATTTTCCCCTCGAGGATTCTCCCACGTTCCTCCTTCCCGGTCCTTGCTTAATTCCAATTACAACGTTAATTACGCCGGACAAGTGGTTACTGAATCTCGCGCCGTAATTAATCAACCTGATATTTACTGGCCGCATTGTCCCCTCGTGGATTAAGCTGCAGCGGGACAAGCAGGGCGAGGAAAGTGAGTGACAGCAGCATTATCACGGCACGCTGCCTCCCATTGGGAAAGTTCATCTCCCCCCTCCAAGAGACGCCTTCAGGGATCACGGAATTTGAATTCCCGGCGAATTTCAGCGTCAGCTCGGCTTGACCAGCTCCGGGAGAACACATTAACCTCCTCTGGCGATTTTCGCCAAACCGTTCTAATTTAGCGAGTAATTAAAGGGTCACATGGAGGATCAAGAGCTCGAGGAGCTGGGATTACGGCACAGGAAGCTTTGTTTCCACGGCAACCCCGAGTGGAGTGTGGGGGGGGGGAGATGTTAAT